TTGTTAACAGTACACGACTATATGTTGATGTCATATATATAACAAGTGAATCCAGTGTAGTGGCCCTGGCTATTTTGCCCTCGTTGCTCCCCTCTCTGGCCTTGTGCTTAATCCTGGTCTATATTAAGTGTATTAAATTAACTAAGAAATTATTTTCACCGGAAAAATCTGTGTAAGACAGATCGCCAGGGCTAAAACAAAACAGTAAGTCTTATGGGGTCATTCCATTTATTATCCGCACCCCCCCTATGGATGAGCTCTGGTAAAAATGTTACCTGTAGGAATCGGATTTCAGAGAAGTACCCTGTTGGAATCGACAGTATCAATCTAAACCCTAGGAATGCTGCTAATTGCCAATATCTCCCTGGTAGGAATCTGCTAATTGCCAATATCTCACCGGTAGGAATCTGCTAATTCCCAATGTCAGACCGGGGGGGGGGGGTAAGAATAATAAATGAAATTATTATGATTCTCATAATAAATATTTGGCAATCTAGTATGCTACACCTTGACGGCAATATCTGACCGGTAGGAATCGGGCCAAAGGAATCTGTTAATTCCCAATATCTGACCAGTAGGAATCCCCTAAGTCCTAATATCTGACCGGTAGGAATCCGCTCATCCATAGGGGGGGTGCGGATAATAAATGGAATGACCCATGACCACAAATTTTACAAGGTTTTTTTATGACTTTAATGTCCAATATTGAAATTAAAAAAATTTCGTACTATCCATCCCATGAATCTTACCTGTGAAACGAATTACTCGTCCTTTTATGTAAAGTAAAGTAAATTGTTGCATCAGCAAGTGGAGCAAAACGGCACTTTAATTCCTTCCAAGTTGAAAAACAACCCCAGCAAAATACGAGAAAAATATATTATGTTTTTAACTAAAAACACTGCCAAAACCAGGGGGGTGAAAACGTCGTCTGAAGCTCAGGATCGCGGTTTGTCAGTGGCAATTCTGTGAGAATTACGGACCAGTTGTCATGGAAATGGCGTCAGCAAACGTCAAAATCCGCCATTTTTTTGGCTTCACTTTGATCACTGAACGAAGTATAGGAGCAGGTCCTCCAGTTATTATACAGCTCAGTGCCACCCACCCACGCAAAACGTCAATTTGACGTTTTGCGTGGCAACTTGAATATGGACGTCGCCCCTAAAATCGGTGTGAAAACTTTTCAAAACATCGAACTACAAGTTTAACTTTTCATATAAAACAACTCATAACTGTTTTGTTTGATTTAGCAGATAAAACGATACCTGTGAATTGAATTGATTGACAGAACTTACATAAGTTTCGGCGACAGTTCACTACTGTTCAAGAGTTATAGAAGACAGTATCATTTCAGTTTGACAGTTCGCAACACAACAAGTTGAAAATTTTGAGCAATATGAAAGACAATACTGAACGTAAATACGTAAAAACACACTTGTCTAAAAGATTGGCTAAACTAGTTAATGTTAATAACATACGTACTGTTCGAATTCACAAAAAAATTAGGATTATAATGAAAAACTGGAGCTTTCTTTGTAGATAAAAACGCCAAAAAACTTCCCGCGGCTTGTTTCAATATTTTTGCCGAACAGTAAACACGACGATTCCACGCGCAGGTCGCGAAGATGAAGTATGATCTATATAAATCGTATTTAAACTGTACTAACTGTAGGGAGCCACTATGTCAAAATTATTTGGTCAACTATCGAGTTGATATCAAAGTTGATATCACTAACCAGAAATCATGAATTCTTTTAAATAACTAATACTATTATTTATTATATATCAAATCAAACGTCTTCTGACTCAGCTTCCAAAAATGGAAGTGGTTCTGCGGGTCGCAATGTGAAAAGAGTTGCATCTGATAGTTCGTTATAGTAATTGATTCTTTCTATGTACGTATATAGTGTATTTGTCTAACATTTAGGGATCGCAGTAATTGGCGCAAGCTGTTGCGATTGCCCTGCCAGTTTTTTGTGTTAACGTTGTTTAAATCTGGCAAAGTTAATAAATTAAATTAAATTAAATGTATTCTTGCGTCTCATCGGACAGAGCGTATCACGTGAAAGTCATGAAATTCGACTGGCCACAGCTCCGAGCGGTGGACAATACTTTTATTCACCGTTGAATATAAAATGATCCAGTTACAAAACAAAAATTTGTTCTCTTTGACACTTGGTACTGTATGTAAATAATAAAATACTTTTTTGTGGAGTGGACCCTTTGGTTGCCCATTGGCAGTCTCGGGTCCACAACACATTACTGTTTCCCTCGAACCCAGTCAATAAGTGCTCAACAGTAGGGTGTATTATCATCAGTCAACACCTGTAGCAGGGATGGATTTACTGGGGAGGACTGCGGACGTTTTGTGCAAAGGGCTTTAGTCTAATAGTTAGTAGGACAAGCAGCAGAGGGTAATCGTGGGTGATGTAAACGCATAATTATGAAAATCTCAGCGTTATCACCATGTGTAAAAGAGACAATCGCGGCACAATTGAAAATTTATCATCAATTATATACTAAAAACTTCACACTACCTCTTAGTAATGTGGCGCATGTGCCTTTATACAGCCCTCTTATTCCACTTTCCTTAAAGATTTTCTTTGCACAATCTAGAGGACCATTATACTTCGCTTTCCCAGCTGATGCTTGTTGAATCTACACAAACATGAACTATATTGTAAAATTTACAGTATTTTGTCGAGGGTTGGTTACCACCGCAGTAACTCACTTCCTCGACCCATATATAAATACATCTTCTTTTTTGCTATTTTAGTGTTTTAATTCAGTTTTTAGTGTTAATTCTGAAGGAGAGGGGAGCACCTATAACTGGGGCGATCTTGACTTGGTGAACACCCTCGTATAGGCGCATTCGCGTATGTGTAGGATAATATGCCGTACAAACCTGTAATAGACATTTTATTCTTTCTCCAGGAGTCATAATACCAGTTGTAAAAACACCAGCTACCATACCGGCATTAAACATCTGTAGATTACTAAAACACATCGTAAATTAAATTTTTTTACAGTGTCTAATTTATAAGTAAAATGCTGGTGAAACGAAAGAGGATGCAGCTATTTTTCCCAGGGGGCAGAGCGTATAACAGTGTCCTTATTAGAGGGTCCAAGTCATCACGATGACCTCTTTTAAAAGACTCCACTGACATATTTAAATTAGTAAATATCTACTGTATTGTATGGGATAATGAAAAAAACTTGCCCGGCGGGATACTTTGCATTTGTCTAAACCTATACTCACATGATCAAAATCAGCCAATCACATCTGGCATTAAGCATTTAGCCATAAAACAATATTTATTTGCCCTCTGACAACAATATTCAATGTCTGTCATCCGTATTGAGGTTCCATATTAAAGAGTTTCTTTTGGAGAAAAAATGTGAGAATTTTGTCTGGACATAGGAAACTGTCCATATAATACAGAGGCGTCTGTAAGGAGAGGTTCACCAGCTGTACTTGATGCGCATGGCATTTAAACTAATTGCTTCGGTTGAATTTCACTAAGAGGAGAGTATGAATTCAAAGTTGATTTAATCTTTGATTTTAAAATATTGATACACAATGTTAGTACCTCATTTCTTCATCAGGATGTTTTTGTTGAAGTTTCTTTCCGACAGAAAATCCCAGAAAACAAAACGCATAAAGTGGAGTAACTCCAACAATAGGTGTAGCCATGCCTTTGTACAGTCCGACAAATCCCTAAGAAATTAAAATATTCCCTTTGTAAAACTCTACATGCCTAAAGACAAAGGTACATTTACTAAAATAAACATAAAGAACATGCACATTCAGATGACATGACAGGTTAAGCACGATGTCGATGTATTTACATGATTTTATGGTACCATGCTTGCCATCTGCATACATAATCTTTTTTTTATAAACTTAAGTTATATATTAGTAACTTAAAGCAGAAGATTGTAAGTTTCACCTCCTTGGAAATAGTTTTTCTTGCACAGTCGAATGTTCCAGTAAAAAGTGGAGTTTCTCCAGGTCCAACTTTTGGTTGAGTTTGAAGGCGGACCTGTCAAACATGAGAATAAAACATTGTCAAAACAATTTAATTTCTCTTAAGGCCTAATAATAT